ACACACACACACACACACACACACACACAGTATCCTCGCACTACCTCACGACCAGAAATCCCAATGTCAACACACAGAAACACACAGACACATCCTAAAGTCGCTCCCGTCGCACGTGCGAGACTGGAGAAAGACAGGAGCAGCCCTCGGACGAGATTATCCTCCCCTAGACTCCCGGATTACGCCAAACAATGTGGGTCATGCTCTCACGAAAAGACGGAGACACTCGGGAAGGCCGTAGAAATTTGATTAAACACAATTTCCAGATTCAGGCAGCCCCAAAAAGATAACGGGTAGTCCCTCTCGGATAAAAGGGCATGATCGCGACGCTGACCAATTGAGTTTAGCCCCGGTAATAACGCCGGTTCGGAGGACGACCAATCAAATTAAGGTTTCTATTTAGAGCGAGTTTTGTCTGAATTAGCGGAAAGGGAGAGCACCAAGGTGCATGGGGAAGCTGGCAAGGGAAGGAATAAGCTGGAAAAGCTTGTGTTTGCTTCTTGCGTCTCAAGGGGGGAAGCTTCCTGGGCAAGGGGAAAAAACATGGGTATTCGCTCGGAATTAACCAAGTCAAGAGATATGCTACCATGTAAGTCTGGGGATTAATCTACTTGTGTCCGCATGAATCAGGGATGTTAAATATAGGGTGTCCTTGACGTCCAGACACATAGGGATATAAATATGTACATTTTCCAGAAATATGCATAAATTTGTATTTAACATGCCATTTAGTTGAATGATCTACAGTGTGATTCGAATCACCATCAAAAACATCACCATGGTAATAACAGCAAACAACAGCAATATTAAACAAAAATTACAACTATAAAAACAGAAGACAACAAAGACAGCAACTATAACACCACCACCACAATCACAAACTACTAGCATCAATCTGCGATAAAAAAAATAGTGATACACAAAAATATGTAACACTTTCATGAAATCGTGAAAACTAACCATTTACTCATGACAGTCAAAACTGACTCAGACTTTTCATTCACTCAGTCAGAAGTTCTGGCGACTGGGGTGTAATAGTTAAGTGCTTCTCTGTCGCAACTTAGAAGACATGAGTTCGACTTCGTATGAGAAAGGTTTGGTTATTGTAAATTAAAAAGAAATCTATCTGTCTGCTGAGACGTTGTATCCCTGTCAACACAGATTGACCCTGACAGTCAGGATTGAAGCAGCCCGCGTAGTATATGGTCTAAATTGCATCGATGGAGACGTAGACAATCTGCAATTCTTCCCGGTCAAAAGTAACTAAAAACCTTTCACTGCACCCTCTGACCCGTTAACATTTTGATATATTCAAATATTGTGTCGATCCTTCGCTTGATGTTTGTTTTTATCCCAGCCTAAATACCCCAAGACCACAATGACACAGATCCTCGCATTGTCAGCCCCACAATGCAGTTTTTGTTCTCGGGAGAAATAGCTTCTGCAAGAAACACAAACCAGGATGGAGCTATTAAATTTTCCCTTTTATTCACACCCGTACGTGTATGAACATGTTTAATTACTCTCTCCTTAAAGCAAGTAACAGGCGACATAAAACAGCATTCTTTCTCATGCATATGAAAATTCTATTGATAGGCCGTCTCTGCTTACATGTTTATTGCCCCCATAACTTCTGCAGACAGCGAGTCCTTACCCTTTGATCGGGTAATTTCAACATGGAAATTACTATTTACAAATTGTATTATCAAATACGTGAGCACGTTAAAATGTTTGCACCGTTTCGGGAGTTTTGACAAGGGTTATTAAAATGTGTCTCGGAACGCGAAAGGGAATAATCGGATGATGAAAATGGCTTCTTTGAGCAGGTGAGGATTATATTTAGCAGACAATTGCTCAGAGTAGGAGGGGAGTAAATTAAAATAATATGATTTCATAGAACACAGAGTTTGAGGTAGGGATTATATTATCATTAACACTTCAGAGGCAAACAAAAGGATAAACATTACATTTAGTAGTTCCCATTGGGAATTGTTCCCAAACGGAGAAACTGATTGAAGACTACTATGTTCTTCTCTAGTCAGCGTGTGCTTTTGCAAATCCCTGTAAGTTCGTCCCTTAAAATGTGACTGACTAACTATTTGTTGGCCTCTACGTCTGTTTTTTTAAAAGTATTTCTGTTTGTCTATTTGTCTGTCATTCAGTTTGTCACCGCTAGTCTGCCGGCACGCATACTCGTCAGTTCGTTGATATTTAAAGAATCATCCACTGACTGTCACATTGTTACTGCCAATGTGCCTGTACGTTATACAGTAATCTGATAAAGATTGTTTTATAACCCACAGAATGTTACTGAGATCAGACGTTTCCAAAAAGATTATAATATTATTTATGAGTTACAGGAAATATTTCTGACTACTACTCACCTAAGTTGAGTACCTCTGGAACTTTTTTCCATGGCTGATGAGATGGGCAAACGTTATTGAGCTCAACACAGACCTGTAATAAAAGAAAACAAGCAAGAATGTGATTTTTGGTTGTTTTTTCCAGTGTCATGAGCAGGAGCTGGATATTTGTACGTTACGTAGAAAAAAATGTCAATATGGTAGTAATTGAGACATGAGCGTGTATTGTTGTGAAATGAGTGAGTGCAAGGAGGGAAAGAAGAATGGGGTGAGTTTAGAAGTTAACAAAACGACGTTTTTGTTAGTTTTTCATCACATCTTTTCACGCAATGCTTCACCCAAACTTATCATCAAAGCATCATGAGTTTCCCATCAATTAAAAAAAATATATCCCTCTGAAAGCAAAATGTAACGGACGTCTGTGGTATAATGGTTAGGCACGTCGCTGCTGCGCTCAGGACATCCAAGTTTAATTCAAGAAACGGGATAATTTTCATCGAGTGTCTTAGTTGTTTCTCTGGGATGGTGAATCCCTCTTATTCGGGTTGGCCTTGAGAGGAAGAGTTGAAGCCTGCCTCCTAAATAATCTAAATTCTGGTGAAAGGGGTTATAAAAAAATAACCACCAAAAACCTCTACAAGTAGAATGGTTTCATTTATCAGAAGTCAGCAGTCCTTGCACCCTCGACCAATGGCTGCGTCTCGATTAACGCCGTGCGCGGTCACGTGATAAACCGAATGCTAATTCCCCTAATGATTGGACGCCGAGACGAGCCGCCATTACTGACGGAAACAATATGGTTCCATTGAGCGCTGCCAGCGTTTGAGCAGATTTGGTGGCGATTGGGAAGATTGATGGCCCAAGCGCTCTTTACAGCGGATACAAAAATCTCTGACTTTTGAAAGAAAAGCTCCGTTGTGTGTGTGTGTCCCGATCTCATCTCATGAACAGGAATATTTTAGGTGCGTATTATCACTCATAAGAAACTCCACCCCCC